CAAAATGGTACCATTGGTTTGGACCCACAGCCAAATGGCAACCAAGTCCAATGGGTCAGCTGCCCACGGCTTGATCCCAACGGATCTAAGCGCAGTGGACGTTACCCGGTCCAAGGATCGATAGGTAACGGCCATGAGAGTCAACCTGACGCCAAAGCTCAAATTTTAAATAGGGCAAGCGCAAGAGGAGCTTGGCATTTGTGCATCCCCTTCCTGCGATAGCAGAAGAGGATACCTCCCATCCCCACTACTTTGTCACTTTCGGGATTGCTTTGGCTGGCAAAAAACACGGTTCCGAATATGTCAAATTTGCCCCTGACACGTGACTCTTCTGAGAGGAAGGCAACACATCTTAGCGGGCCCAAAGAGTGAAAATAGTGGGGCTTGAAAAAACCCGAGCAACCTAAAGCGAAGCAGCTTTGCCCATCGGGAAAAAAAGATTTGCCCACTAGCCCACCCAGGCGTGGCACGACACACCCAGCGAAGCAAACGACCAGCAGAAAGACCTGGCGGGCTCAACACTGGCTAAGAATAAACACACACACAAACGCACACCCAAGCACACACACACACACATAACCATACACTCAAACACACTCGAACACAAACACAAACACAAACACTCACACAAACACAAACACACAAGCACAAGCACGAGCACGAGCAAAAGCACAAGCACAAACACAGACACACACACACAGACACAGACACAGAGACACACACACACACACACCCACACCCACACCCACACCCACACGCACACGCACACGCACACGCACACGCACACGCACACGCACACGCACACGCACACGCACACGCATGCGCCCGTGCACGCGCACGCGCACGCGCGCACAAGCTCACACGCGCACGCGCGCACAAGCGCACGCGCGCACATCGCACCCGCACACCCGCGCACCCGCGCACCCGCACACCCGCACACCCGCACGCGCCCACACACACGCACACGCGCACGCGCACGCACACCCACACCCACACCCACACACACACACGCACACTGCAAACACGCAAACACGGAAACACATACACACGCACAACAAGCAAGCAAGCAAGCAAACAAGCAAACAAAAGACACACAACAAACAACAACGAACGAACGAAGGAACAAGCAAACAAACAAACAAACAAACAAACAAACACGCAAACAGACAAACACACACACACACAAAAACAAACAAACAAACAAACAAACAAGCAAGCAAGCAAGCAAGCAAGCAAGCAAGCAAGCAAGCAAGCAAGCAAGCAAGCAAGCAAGCAAGCAAGCAAGCAACAACAACAAGAAACACAACAACAAACACACTGACAAACAAACAAACAAACAAACAAACAAACAAACAAACAAACAAACAAACAAATTAACAAACAAAACCAAACAAACAAACACACAGCCAAACACGCACACACGCGCAAACGCGCAGACGCCAGAAGCACACACTCACACAAACAACAACACATCAACAGGACTACAAAAGCTCAAACACTTTAAAGAAACAATGATAACAGCAAACCCACAAACAAACAGCAATACCATGCGTGCAAGAAAGCAAACTCACCAACCCACCAACCAACCAACCGACCGAAAAACCCACTAACCGACCAATCAACCAACCAACCAACCAACCGAAACAGCGACCGACCAACCGACCAACCGACCAACCGACCACCCGAACAACCGAAAGCAACCAAGTAGGCAAGCAAGAAGCCAGCAAGCAAGAAAGCAAGCAAGCAAGCAAGCAAGACAGCCAGCCAGCCAGCCAGCCAGCAAGCAAGCAAGCAAGCAAAGCAGACAGACACACAATCAAACAGACTGAGTAACTGACTGACAAAACACACGTACGCACATCACACCCGCACACACACATACACACGCGCACCACATGACACCCATGCACCCATGCACCCAGCCACCCAGCCACCCAGCCACCCAGCCACCCAGCCACCCAGCAACCCAGCAACCACACGCACAAACCCACACGCACACACGCACGCACACGCACACCAGACACAAACCATACACAAAGCATACACAAAGCATGTGGATATATATATATATATGTATAGTATTATTGTACATTCTACGTGTTGCAATGCACACCGACCCTCAGACCGACATCCGAAATTATCATCGATTCTTGTACGTTGCAGTATTCGGCCTTCAACCACGGTGCGGTGTCCACCGTGCGCAGGGTACGGCCACCCACGAGGTTGTTGGACCTGAAAAAGGCCCGGCGCAGGCTTGCCCGAGGACGTTCCCTGACTTGATCTGCCGGTGAAGACTGGGACACATCAGCATTGCCCCTGCTTTCCGGGTTTTGGGCCCAAAGGATTGAAAAAACATGGGGGTACAACTAGACATGGGTTGGTATGACAATATGTTGATGGCCATCATAGAAATTGGGATTGTCAATTGAGGCAATATCTCTCAGCAACTCTGGTCTACAGTCACCGGCACAGTGGCTGGTAGGCCAAATTGTGCCACACTGGATGCTAACCAGGTTTGGGCCCAAAGAATTCTTGAAACAAAAATGGGGGTACAGCTAGACAACACTCAGAGCCCGGCTCCTTGATCTCATCCCTCTCTTCCCCGTCGCTTGGGACCTCCTGAAGGAGAGCGTGGCACGCTTGCTGCACAAAAACCATGGTGCTGAAAACCTCGCACGCTTTGTGGGGTGCCTTGAAAACCAACTGATCTCATGCTCACAAGAGACAGATGTGTGCAGTCATCTGGCCCATTATATCATTCAACGTGCGTGAATCGCCTGGGGGGCGGTAACATGTTCCCAAACGTTTACCCAAAAGACATGTGAGGGTTGATCAAAAGGTCCTTTACATGGGATGACCTTTGGTTGGCAAACTGTAAAAACGACAAGATATTTCAACCGCATGGGACAAGTTGCCCATGATCTCAACAACCAACATGTCAATCAAACAATGTGGGGAGAGTGGGCATGTTGCCAGTTTTACTCGCTTCCTGAGTCTGTTGGCCAACAAAAACACCTTCTTGTTTACCACTTTAAATCGTCCAGGAACTCAGAAAGCGAGTCCAGTAGTGATAGATTCCCTTTAAACCCACCAGGGGAAAATTGAAAAAACAACTTGCTGTTTTCTTCGGTACAAACAAATGGAGGTCACTGCCCGGGGCTGATGTGGCCGCTTTCCTCCGTGCATTTTTTCAGAAAGGAAGCGCCGCTGACCTCCTCGTCCTGCGGCAGGGCGGTGGCCCGCTCGCAGCCCGCGGAGTCGTTCTCGTGCCGGAACATGTCCATGCCCTGCCGGGGGTTTTGGACAATGCAGGTTTTGGACCAGGGAGGCTCCCCAAGAAGAAAGTAGTCTTCCAAAACCTTCCTGTCACATGGTTTTCCGGGGGTTCTTGACCAGAGGAAGAGGAGTACCCTCCCAGCAATTCACACATGGCTGCGGTTGTCAAAATTAGGCAGAACAAACAAAAGCCCCGAGACTAGGTCCATTCAAGTGACATCCTCAAACTTACCCTCTACCGCATGCTTGGTTGACGTTGGAAGGGGAGCAAACAAACAAAAAACAGTTAAGTGGTTTCAGGGTTGTGGGGAAGGACCACTTCTGTGATACAACAGAAAGGGCATATCAAAGACTAACCCCCCATATAAGGGGGGAGATTCCCAAAAGTATCACAGAAGTGAAAAACCCTTGATCCCACAACCCTGAGTGGTTTCAACCACTAAACCACAATAAGCAAAAAGGCAATAAGGGTTTCCCAACAACAAGCATGCCCTGCGGGGCCGGCAAGTGGGACTGGGGGGTGCCCTCCCCTTCTCACATGGAACCGTTCGACGTTCGGAGGCGGGGGGGGGGGGATGGTTTGGACCATTCTCCTTTTGATTGGGAGGTTCCATGCTCATTGGTGGGGTAGGAGGGGGGGTGAATCCTGTGCCCAAATTTGGTGGGGAAATTTGCAAGAGGATGGAAAAGGGAAGAAACTTGTGGACTATTGAGATTTTGGGCAAGGGTGAAATCCGCCGACCCCTTTGCAAAAGCCAAGTTAGTCTCTGCAAAGGGGCGAGGCGTGTTCTAAGTGGTGGTTAGGGGAGTCTGAGGGGGGGAGGGGGGGTCCCGCGGCGGATTTTTGACACGCCTAACCTCTAACTCTAACCTCTAACTCTAACCTCTAACCCTAACCTCTAACCCTAACCTCTAGCCCTAACCTCTAACCCTAACCCTAACCTCTAACCCTAACCTCTAACCCTAACCTCTAACCCTAACCTCTAACCCTAACCTCTAACCCTAACCTCTAACCCTAACCTCTAACCCTAACCTCTAACCCTAACCCTAACCTCTAACCCTAACCTCTAACCCTAACCTCTAACCCTAACCTCTAACCCTCTAACCCTAACCTCTAACCCTAACCTCTAACCCTAACCTCTAACCCTAACCTCTAACCCTAACCTCTAACCCTAACCTCTAACCCTAACCTCTAACCCTAACCTCTAACCCTAACCTCTAACCCTAACCTCTAACCCTAACCTCTAACCCTAACCTCTAACCCTAACCTCTAACCCTAACCTCTGACCTTAACCTCTAACTCTGATGATGACGAAGGCGATAATGATGATGATCATGATGACGATGATGATGATGATGAATGAATGATGATGATGATGATGATGATGATGATGATGATGATGATGATGATGATGATGATGATGATGATGGTGATGATGATGATGATGACGACGATGATGATGATGATGATGATGATGATGATGCTGAATGATGATGATGATGCTGATGATGGTGATGATGATGGTGGTGGTGATGATGTTGATGATGTTGATGATGAATGATGATGATGATGATGATGATGATGATGATGACGATGATGATGATGACGATGATTATGATGATGATGATGATGATGGTGCTGATGATAATGATGATGATGATGATGATGATGATGCCGATGATGATGATGATGATGATGATGATGATGATGGATGATCATGATG